GGAGGAGGAGGAGGAGGAGGCGTGGTAGTCGTATTTGTCGCAGTAGTTGGAGAGTAGCAGTAGCAGTAGTAGTAGTGGTGGTGGTGGTGGTGGTGGTGGTCGTGGTGGTGGTGCTCGTCGTAGCAGCGGTAGAAGTAGTAGTAACAATAATTGTAGTAGGAGTCGTCGTCGTCGTCGTCGTCATAGTAGTCATAGTAGTCATAGTAGTCATAGCGTGGTTTGTGTACTCGTCGTCGTAGTAGTAGGAGGAGCAGCAGCAGCAAAATAAGAATTGCCGCTTTTGGGGTAGGCAGTAAGGAAGCCAACGAATCATGCAGAACCCATGGGAATCATCAGTACCACGACTTTTCCAAGTTCCTCGAGCGGACAGGAAGTACAAGTTTTACGTCATCGCGGACGAGGCGTACCAGCTCCTCAACTTCGAGCCATCTGCCGCAGCTCCCTCAGGAAGGAAGCTAACACTAGGACAGCCATAGCAGTGACTCCAAACTATGCTTTTCTTGTCATCATCCTGGTGGTAATGATACCTGCTAGCAGCATGACGTTTATGAGCATTACATATAGTGATGCTGGCGATCTTCGCCTGGATGGCTGCGATCCAGAAGTGGACACAGAAGAAGAAAAAGCTATTGATATATGCGATAAAAATGGAGATGATGACAATGGCTTTGCAAGATGATGATGTTCATGATCATGGTGATGGAACACCATGATAGGTGCTGAGGGACCGAATGGTGCTGATGGCATTGTAGACATGAAAGATTGACAGGACGACCCTTGTGGCATTGAAAATGGCACGTCCTCAGAATCTGATAGTTTGTATGTTCTGAAAGCAAAGATGAGGATCACGATGGCACAGTCAGGATGGTGACATGTCAACGACAGCACCATTACTACACCAACGGTCATCACCATCATCACTGTTTTCATGGTCAACAGCTTCATCAACATCAAGTACTTGGCAGATACTATCACCTGTGTCACCATCACTGTCATCATCATCATCATCATCCTTATCATCATTACCATCATCTTTCATAGTAATATCAGCCGTCAACGTCATCATCATTGCCATCCTGCTCATCATCATCACCATCATCAACAACAGCATCACCATGTTCCTTCCCATCGCCATCATCACCGGGTTTGTCATACACAGTGCCAAATGTGCCAAACATCCATAGCAATCGGAGCACCAAATTCAACAATCGATCAACAAACACACTAACACAACAAAGCCACAGAACGTGCATTCTCTCTGGATCTTTGTCTTTTGGGTTTTTTTGGTTTTAGGCCGGGGGTTTGAAGCCGCACGGATACAGACCAACAAAGATGCACGCATATCAATGCAGTTCCGTTCTCCGCTGATTTTTGTTGTTCTTGTGTGTTGTTGTGTTCGGTTGAGTGGTTACAGCCAGCCTGAAGCAGGGCTTGCATCCCGAACTCGCGAAAAAAGGCAGCCATCGCCGGTGTGAGCGGGGGTTTAAAGGGGGTGGTCTGTCCAGGGGCGGCGGGGTGTTATATATACACATACATACAATCACACATAAGCACAGATGCATACATCGTTTTTATCACGACAGCTAAGTAACTAGGAAGTGGCCGTTCTGTTCGAATCGATCGACAAGCATCAGAAAGCAAGATTGAGAGTGTTCTGGAAGCACTCCTTGTCTCTCGAGCTCCTGCAAGGTCAAGCCCCTCTTCTATCACGATGACAAGGATGATCCGTTCTTCACCTCAGCCTGATTTAGGTTGAGCGCTTAACGTTGTAGGGTGGACTTTGGCTCGGCTTTGACACACAAGTCGAGCTCCTGTTTTTTGAGCTCTGCAGCAAGCCATACGATCGTGGACGATGCAAAACAGCATGCAGGGCTCCTTTGTGAAAAGAGGTCGGGCAGGTTACGATTAGCTGATTAGCCACGGCGATTCCAATGAGACTGCCTCTGTAAACCACGCAATGCACACCAAAATCCTCATCTTCCCATGCCCTCAACAGAGCCTGAAGCCCTGAACCCCGAGAGCTACAAGCACAACATCGTACGCCCTGCAGAGACGCAAATCCTAACTTTCCCAGGCGTGTCTTCTCCATTGGGACCTTCTCGAAGCTGATTGGTCCCGGCACGAAGGCATTCTTTTTCGTAAATACCCTGTAAAGTCGCTTGGGGCTTAGGTGCAGAGGCTTCGAGAGGCGGAGGCTCAGGAGGTTCAAGCTGCAGTTCCAGAACCGATGCCTTTGGCAGATCCCGAAGAGAGAAACGGAAAGGCAGCACCAACAAGAGGCTCGCCAAAGCACATTCGTGTTGGAGTGCCATTGAAACACGCTTCTCCCCCACCGGCGTGGAGCGGCAAGTTTTTGCTTTTTGCCAATCTGCATCTGCAACACTGACCTCGCAGGACGAGGCAGCAGCAAAGACGGGGCCATGAGATGCTCCAGCAAGAATCCATCCCGTCTGCGGCACGTTGGCCAGCCGAATCTACCCATACCGGTATTGGTAGCAGCGTCGATGGGCACAGTCCGGCGACAAGAAGCAGCGCCATCCCGGCGGGAACTTAAACTACAGTGAGGTGAGAATCCGCAAACTCCTCATCCAAGCTCGTACATTCTGACAGCTTCTTCCTGCCACCAAACCTCTCGGGTTGTAGCTGCTTTTCTCGGTGCAGGTTGGCTGGGTGCAGGCATATCCTCAGCTGCTGAAGTTTGATCCCCAGCATCTTCCAGCTGCTGATGCACCCGACCATTGAGCCTATAATCCAGCAGCGATTCAGTTTCTGTTTGTATTTGCTACAGAAAACCGTACCCGACCATAACACCTTGAGGAATTGCATTGTGCAGATGCATATCGAAGCTTCACTACAACACCTGAACTGCAGAAAGTGCATGAAACCTTCCGCTGTGTGCAGTCTGGTGCTTTTTGGCTACCTGCCTTTGAGCGCAGCAGCTGCTTGGCGAGGCTGCTGCATCCAGAGGGTTTGGGCGCATCTTCAACTGGGTGGTGAAAGTTTCACGAACTGCGAACCCGTCCACACTGTGAACATGCTCAGTGCCATCCTGATGGAGGCCTGTCGGCCAGTCTCCTCGAGATTACATTTGTTTTTGCCACAAAGACGAACGTCACGAACCCAACAGGCCCTCCGCCCGTCCGCCAACTGATATGTCCCCGCTCGAGTAAGCGAAGGCACCACCGACTTTTGAAGCCTCAGTTCGCAGAACTCCGTGCTTAAACGCCTATGACGCACGCCCTTGATACCGGCTTAACTATGTGAACTACATTATGTTCAGACGACGATCCAGATCTCCGGTGCTGTAGGCATGGTGTGATTCAGCACTGAGAGCGATCGAGCCATTAATGGCGAGGCCTTATACTACCCAGGATCCCAGAACCCTTGCCGCGTCCCAAATGCGCTTGCACGCAAGACCGCAATGATGCCCCCGAGGCCCCTTGCGGGTGTTGGCTTCATCGATAGCGGTCTGCGGCCCAGCACCACCATCGTGTCACTGCAGCTGGTGGTGGTGGTGGTGGTGGTGGTGGTGGTGGTGGTGTTGATGTTGATGTTGATGTTGATGTTGATGTTGATGTGAATGTGGACGTGGATGTGGATGTGCATGTGCATGTGCATGTGGAAGTTGTTGCTGTTGTTGTCGTCGTTGTTGTCAGTTGTCAGCGGTTGTGGTGGTTGTTGTTGTTGTTGTCGTTGTGATTGTGCTTGTGGTTGTCGTCGTCGATCGTCGTTTTCGTCGTCGTGGTGGTGGTGGTTGTGGTTGTGGTTGTGGTTGTGGTTGTCGCTGTGGCTGTGGCTGTGGTTGTGGCGGTGGCACTTGTTGTTGTAGTAGTTGTGGTTGTGATGGTGGTGGTGGTGGTTTTCGTCGTCGTCGTAGTCGTCGTTTTCGTTTCTGCTCTGCTTGTCACACTACTTTACAATGTTGCGGTGGTGGTGGTGCTTGTGGCGGTGGTGGTGATGGTGGTGCTGGTGGTGGTGGTGGTGGTGCTGCTGCTGCTGCTGCTGCTGCTGCTGCTGCTGATGTCGCTCTGGTGTGTCTGCACTTGACCTGCGTACCGGCTACGTCTGGGTTCCCAGATGGTCTCGGCCATGGCGTTTCTCCGAAGGCTGCCAGAATTCGATCATGCCTCAGGCAACAACCCTGTGATCTTCTCCTCCATGAACCTCCTACACTTCGTGGAGCCAGAGCCTCCACTGTTATCGGAAGAGAATGGCATTCGGTTTTGGTGTTTCGGGTCCAGAGCTAAAGCTGGACAAGACAAGCCATGTGAGGGCCAGGGTAGTCTGGTTTTCTTGTTCTCCATCGCGATGGAACTGAAGATTGCCAGGGTGTTTCACGACTGATTGCTTGAGAACTATCGGCTTAGAGGCTTAAAGTCTGCTCGGCTTGATGCAGGCCGCCCCTTCAAGCCTCGTAGAGTCGTAGAGCACCTCGTGCAGGACAATCTTAACATTTTCGGTCCAATCCTAGGATGAGAAAACCCGGCTCTTAGATTTTCTTAGAAAGGTATGTTCATGGTTTGTCTTGGCCCAAGCCTAGATGAACAAGCCAGGCTCTGGGTGTTTTCGCCTTTCTCGGGCCTTGAGAGGCCCTGGGTTCCCTGGCCAACCCCCAAAGACGGCTCTCGACTCTGGAGCTGTGTTTCCGTATCTGTCGGACCAGCCCCAAATGAGAACGTGGGACCCCCTCGTGTAGTGCCCTGTCAGGAGGTCAATGCAAGCCCCCTCCCCCCAACAAAAAAACAACTCCTTTTGCCGGGGTACCCTGGTTTTCTTGCTTTTCTCAATGTCGCATTGCTTGTACATTTGTAGGGGCTGCCCAGACTTCAGTTTCTTCATTCAATGCTTCTTAGCTTGTGCTGTCACAGTGCTGTACACCACAAGCCGAAGACCGCACGTACCCAGGGTGGCTCATGTTACATCAGAATCACCACATCCGAATCCTCAGTCCGCACATCCCCACCCGGCCGAAACATGTTGATTATGAGCTTGCTGATGTTGTGGTTGGGGTGATGGCATGTCGTTTGTGACAATGGAGTAATGGCGTGGCGTAGGAGATGGGGCCTGATACATCGGATCCTGAACACGCATTCGAACACTGTGGCGTGCATCGTCTAGATAATCATACGGTATTCCTGCTAGGCCTCCAGTCCTCGTAACCCCACGCACACCACACCGCCCCTACCATTACTACCCCGACATCCGCATGACCCTTTCATCTTCGCTGTGCTCTTCATAGGTGCTTGAGCCATGTTCAAGTGGCCATTTCACGGATACATGCCACGTTCAAGCGGCCACTGGTTCACGGAAGCAAGTGCGTGTTGACCTTGCACAGGGGCCTTGCACTCAAACTGCGCACATGCTCACAAACACAGCACATCCGCGTGTGAAGTGGGATCTTCAAGGTGACATCTGTGAGCAGCAGTCCGAAGTTCTACACTGCCGACCTCCAGACCATCAATTTCGAGTTCAGGTAGTCAGAGCAGACACGCCCTTCTCAGGTCTGGTGCTCTTGCGAAACACATAGACATGGCCCACCCCTCGAGTTTTTGTGAAGGTTGGAGTTTCGGGATGCAGTGTGTTCAGCCTGTCTGGCTCTGGCATCGTAGAGCCAGCCGGAGCAGGATTTCAAGCCCACAGCCGCGATTCTATTCCTCACGATCGCGCACAAAACCCTTAGCTTTAAATCTTCTCAGCAGTGGATTGCCGAGTACCTTCCTCCTGCAGCAGCGTGTAAAGATGTGCAGCCTTCCCTAACGTAACGAAAAGCGATAGGCCGAGGCCCTGAACTGCAGGGTGCAGCTGGGGCTGTTGGGGTCCTTGGTAACTTATCCAGGGCATGAGCACTCGGGCTGAACTGTTGAGCCAGACTCCTAGCGTGAGAGGTTCCATAGGGTGGGTGAGAGTTCAGGATGTTTGGTAGACTTTGAGGAATGGAGACTCCATAGTTTCAGTGTCAGGTTGAGAGGGTTGAACGGTTTCGGGTCTGTAGTTGGAGGCTGTCGGTGGACCAGGTTGAGGATGGAAGGATTTGTAGTCTTTGTTACTCCCTGGCCCTGTGTCGTGTCATCAAGGACTTTAAGTAGAGCTTTTCCTGGTTAACTTCGTCTCTTGCTCGAGACTTGCTGTTGCATTCCTCGTAACTCCTGAAGTAGTCCTTACCTGCTTAACGAGTGTATGGCCTGGCGGCAAGCTTCCTGTGCTCAGGTCTCAAAGGATTTGGGTGAGAGGCTTCGCGGCACGCGCAGGAGGATTTCAGAGTTCTGGGAGTTGCGGCAGGGCTCATTCACCTCTTGACGATAGCTCGTGCAGTGTGAGATGGAGTGCTGTGGGCATGTGTTGCAGAGACGCGACTGTCATGTAACCTTTGTTTTGGAATTTGCTCATGCTTTCAGATTGTTGAATGTTGATCGCCGTTTGATCGGCCAAGGGAATGAAGCAATTCTTCAGCTCTTGCTAGCGGTATTCTTATGCCATCCACTACTACGACGACGTCGACGACGACTACTACTTCCATTGCCCCACTGCCACAGCTACGACAGCCAGCAGTGCCTCCATGTGCCACCTGCTGGTGGTGCTATTTCCGCTTCTGCTCCTGCTGCTACTACTGCTCCTACTGCTCCTCCTCCTCCTCCTCCTCCTACGTTTGACCTGTACCAGTAGTGGGATGGTCTGGGCTTCTCCGCACATGACAAGTTTGGAACCCGGCGACCTCCGTGAAGAGTCGCAGAGAGCTGAAATTCTTTGCGTCAGAGCTCTGGTGGAACGTGCCTGACCTTGAAACTGGACTGTAGTCTAGCAGCCCTCCTCGCTCAAGACGCACAGTCATACTTGGATGGCGACCTTGTTAAAGACTTTTCGCCTCTGGCATCGGCATTTTACCATCACTCATGTCGTCTGTTCTTTATCGACCGCAAGCTCGGAGTGCCACTAGCCTTGCTTGGAGGTGTAAGTTTATCTGCAAGAAGCTTCGAGACGTGGGTTTGGAGGCCAGCATGAGCGAGTGGTCAAATTTTCGGCGCACAGTAAGCCGACTTCGGTGGCGGTCCTTGGTTTGGGGAAGTGGGACGTTATAGCGTCAAGTTAGGCTTCGGCTCCTGCAACTACGGCTAAAATTATAATTGCTGCTGTTACGTCGTGCCATGAATGCAGTACCAGTACTTGCAGTACTAGTACGAGTACAGGTACGGGTACGAGTAAGAGTACGAGCACTGGTACTAGTGACCTAGTACAAGCTCCCATTGGTTTTTGCCAAGGCTCGGAGTACCGGATATGCCACCCATCATCTCTCATCATAATTTTGGATGCTTGCCTTGGGGGATCATCAGCTCCATCACAAGTTTTGAAATTCGGATCCAATATATCTTGTTACTTTTTAAGCTTCTTGTGAGCAGGGGGTGTTTGTTTGCCACTTCTAACTTCTGGTTTTGCAAACCATTCTCCTCGCATTGGGGGGGGCTTGCCACCCATCATGTTTCTTGCAGGTCTGGATCTAGGAATACCCATTCTTTTCAGGTTTCCGACCTCTTATTGATTGAGGTTTACTACTGAGTTTGCTACCCATCATATCTTTTCAAGTACCTAATCTGCCACACATGACTTGCTGTTAACTGGCACCCAGTCAGCTCGTTCATATTCTTGTCAGATTTCGAATTGCCAGCCAGCCGTCATCTCCTTTATGAAGTGGAAACGCTTATGGGCTAAGAGGGTTTGTCATCCACTACACTAGTTGTTGCTAAAGGCACTGGGCGCCAGATATGCCATTCGTCATCTCTCATCAGAATTTAGGATGCTTTGGACACGCTTAGCCATCTAGGGGTTTCGGGATTGAAACACATCATCCTCTATGGGCCACTATGGGATTTAGGACGTGGCGCCCGACCTGCCCAATTCGGACACCCCATCACATTGTTTGATGGGCTTGGTGCTTTCGTGTGAACCAGCTATGCGGGCTAGGAGTTCTTTGGAACAGTCTTCCGAACCACCTACTGCATTCTGGTTGTGTCGTTGTGTTTATTGTTTCGGTTTTCCGATGTTTGGCAGATTTGGAACCCATCATCACTACGTAGCCATTTGGATGAAGGTTGACAACCTACCTGCTGTTCTTAATCATAACATGTGAAAGCATTGGCGGGGGGGAGAGGCTCACTCATAAGACATCATTTCCTTTCCACGGTTTGGATCATAGGTCCTCAACCACCAGGTCTCTCACTACCATTCAGCGTGAGAGTTCGGAAGTTTCTTTGGCCTGTATCCCATTGGGGTGTTGTAGATTCCTGTTGTCCCTTAAAAATGTGAAAACGAATGTATGGCTTGAACAGCAGCAGCCGTGCAAGAGGTGACATGCCTATCAACAACTTCACACTCCAGGTCTCTAATGACTTCGTATGTGGTTACCCATCTATGTGGTGATTTACTTGCCAATAACATATTATGTGATGTGATATGATATTATGCTACATTACTATGACCTGTTCTATTCTTCACTTCTCTTCTCCTCCCTTCTCTTCTGTTATGTTCTGTTCATTCTATGATGTGATATGATCTGGTAGTATATTGTATCATATAACGTTCTAGTACTACTCGTTCTGCTAGTGCTAGTACTAGTACTACTGTGGATGGA